GGACTTCTGGGTGCTTGCAATTGTGAACAGCCGGTTCCTGTTCAATCAAGCTAGATTGCTTGGGATCAGCTCATTGGAAGCCTCTCTTTCATTGGCTTTGAACAGTACTTAAAATGCATTAATCTCCTACTGAGTGTGCTCAAAGCTTGAACAGCAGTGCAAGTTCAGAATTAAAAAGCGTCTTTAAATAGACAAGGGCATGACTGGGCTTAGTCCAACTTCTCTCATGGAGGAGCCTAATGAAAAGGCTTGGTTTCAAGGAGCAGATTCTACCTAAAGCAGCTGTGCAGTGTTACAACATGGCATGGTGGTTTCCTTTAGAGGTACAAGAAAGGTGTTAATATTACAGCTTTGTACAAAGTTGCTAGTTTTTTTCTGTATCATAGCGAGTTTCTGTATCGTGTTTTCCAAATTCAATGGGAACTGTAAAGCAGAAGTTAGAGCGACCCTTCCTGGGACTTGGAAACCTGAATGAACAGACTTCTAGTTGTGTCATTCATTGTTATTCTGGCAAAATAGGAACTGGAGCTTTCCCACCAGTAAAACTGCCTCTCTCCAAAGTGTGGTGTAGGGATGTACATCAATACAAGGTGCCCCATGCAGGTTCTGGAAGTGCTCACAGCAGACCAAAGCAGGATGAGGAGCTTTGCAGCCGTGCTTGCTCCTTCCCTGCTGGTGCTGGGGCTCTGCCCTCGTGCTGCTCGGCCTGAGCGCCAGCACAGGGCTGATGTGTGCAGGGCAGTCGAATGCTCAGACCATGGCCACTGGAGTGATTTCCTGAGCAAAGTGCTAGTGCCAGCCCTGCAGGTCCTTCACGTGGCTCCTGGGGGGTGTCTGCCTCTTGCAGCCACTGGTGTCCTGTTAAAAACACCTGAATTGTGGAACCTAAGCAAAATACGAAGAGGAGAGAGTGCTTGCGTCTGGGACAGATGCCAGACACCAGAAGTTTCAGACATATGGGCTGAAGGTTGAAGTTGCAAGTAATTGAAAATCGGGGTTCTTAATGGAAAATGTTCACCATGAGCATTGCTGTTACTCCACCTTTAATAACTTTAATAACTTGGATGTCATAGTAAAGGCTGGCTTGTGCTGAACAAACATCTCCATAACCTCATTCATTAGGGGATGGATATTTCAATATCTAACACGATGTTTTAAAGTCAAATAAACAGTACGTTTTGGTGCAAACAAACTGAGTTATGGAATTACTGACACCCTATGAACATCACCCTGTGGGTGTGTGCGTGTGACACAAAGGAGCAGCCAGATGAAGCTGACAGCACTGCTGACCTGTGTAACTGGACCCCGAAGGCCAGGGTGGGAGGGAGTGCTGGATAAACCCTGACAAATGGGGCTTCATATCTAGAGATTTTGAGCTGGGAAGGGTGCGAGATTTCTTCGGAGGGAAACAAGCATCTAGTCCCACAGTGTTATAAATTGCTTGCTGTGGCTTAGAGAAACAAAAAGCCCGATGTGGAGCTAGCAGAGGACTCTAGGAAAGAAAATAGAAGCAAGAGGGAATATTTAGAGTGAGGTTTCTCTTTCAGTTCCCTTGTGCTCTATTTTTGTTCTGTGCATTGCTCTTTAACAACCAGTAATCACTGGGATACCAGATCACGTAGATACAGATGGTTCAGAAATACTTCCCAGTGTTACAGAGCTGTTCGTGTTGGCAGCCCAGATCTGGCTGAATACGGCTGTCCTCGAGGACCCCAGTCCATAACATTCTTCTCGGTTTTTCTTTGTTAGATTTTGGGCTTTTACTTCTATCTGGGGGTGCTGGATATATTGCTAAGTACCCAGAGTCGAACATGTTCTGCTCTGTTTTTAGCCATTCCCTTTAAAATGAGTGACCAGATGAGACTTGGTGAATCTGTCCAATATGACCCAGATATTCTTGGTATTATTTAACAACAGGGAAAAAGCTCATGTGGAGAGGATTGTCGTCAAGCTTTGCAATTAACACCATGTTGTTGAGTGTTGTATTCTGAGTCATCGCTGCATGGTTGATATTGTACGTGTCGTGTTCGACAGACCTGCCTGGTGTGTGCTGTGACCTGCTGGCTGCATCTAAGCGAGAAAAGCTTCGTTTCTGTAGGAGGGCACAAGCGACCACAGTTACCTGGAAGATTTTTGCTGCTCATCTTCTGTGGACTCTCAGTACTTAAAAGTCATCCCAAATGAGGGTACAAGCTCCCAGAGCTTGGAGCCCGTTATGATGGACTTGTGGAATGGTCCGTGGAGGAAGTTCTTCAGTTCTTCAGTCCCTGAAGTTGCTGTGTTTGAAAGGCTTGTTCACAAACTCACTCAGGAAGAGCTAAATTCTTAAAACCTCCCATGGTTCTTTCATGAATTTAAAAACGCATAAATAACCAAATCTTACAGAACAATGTAACAGTGATAGTGCCTTATTTTCCTGGGTTGGTGAGGGAAAAAAACGATCAAGTTGGTGTTTTAGTTAGAGTAACCAGAATATTGAAATCCAGGTTAAACTTAAACTGGTTTACTACAGGTGCCCTGTGGTACTTCTTACCTAAAGATTAGAACAAGTACTATTTTTTTCCAATTGCTGCTGTAAGCCACCGTATTTCCTTTGGTAAAAACTTTGGCCGAGATCCTCATCATGTGTGTGTTCCAAGCCAGAAGCTAAAACCCTGATGAGCCCTTTGAGTCCATACAATGTTGGAAAGTGAAGCCCTGGATTTAAATAGTTAACTGTGGACTTGAACTGCAAGTGATGACAAACTTGTGAAGGACGCTACTGTCTGAGCCATTTGGTCTGCTTCTGAGCCAGCTTGTGGACCCACACAGGTTCCAGTCCACTGTTTTCTGGCTTAATAAAATCGGAGTAGTATTTGTGTCTAACTGCCCGCTTGGGGCTCGTCAGTGCTAACTTCAGCCATCCAATTTTAATTTGCTGTTGCAAGTCTGCCAGAGCGTTGCAGGAGGCTGGGAGGGGGTTATTTTCCCAGATGACTGCTGTTGACATTTGTAGAACAGGAGTGAAGTCAGCCGCCCGTTTGTTCGAAGTGCCCGTAACCTTTCCAAGCCTGCAGGGATCGCTTCAGTGTCACGTAGCCCTTCAGAGATCTTCCCAGCTGCAGCACGAGGAAAATTGATCAAGCTGTATCAGTTAAGTTTGCTATTTGGGCTGGAGACTTCACTGGAACTAAGGCTGTTGACACTACTCTACAGTTGGGAAGCTGACGAGGAGGTATTCCCTTCTTCTTTGCCCATCTTGAGTTTTAATTTCCAACCTGTTGTACCTACCCACAGTTCTGCTCTCCTGCATTTCAGGAGTGGATGTGACAGGCAGTTCTCTTTTTTGCCATCGTGGTGCTGATGCAGAGTAGTGTGTTTTTCAAGCCAAGCAGCAGATACCATTTATACTCAAAGAACATTGTCCAGGCTCTGAGCAAATCCATTAATAATATAATTCCTTCTGGGAGTTGGCACTACCAAATGATCGCAGACTCTTCTGTCGTAGACAAGGAATGCTTTCTGATTTTGCACTGTCTAAAGCTGTTCACGGTAACTGTCCAGGCATGAGCTCGTGTCACCTGGCAAGACGACACTGACCCAAACACTCAGCACTGCTGGGGGGAGACCTCGACCTCATTGGTATGACACAGGGAGGCTCCTTCTAAATCCCCTGAGGGACTTTCTAAGTAGGGAAGGGGCTCATCTCCAGCTCGTACATTCTTTATGTCTGGAAGGAGGGAAAGGCAACCATAGAGGGTTCCTAAAATTTGTCTGAACTTAGTTGTCCTTTACTTCTTTGCGGGATGCCAGTGCCATGTGCTTGGGAGGTGCTTTGGATGCTTTTGGTTCTTCTGAGCACATCAGGCAGCTTTTGCATGCTGTCCAACAGGACACCGTGACTAAGACGTTACAGATGCATCTTTCAAATCCCTTTGGCAATTAAAATGCGGAACAAATAGAAACTGGTGGCTGCAATTGCAGTTAAACAACCATTTTCAACCCTGTAGGAAAACACTCTGAATTTAGAAAACATGGGAATTTGGAGCTCAGTGAGGGTACATGTTAAAGCTAAGCCCTGAGCAGTAGGAGCTGTGAAAGTTCGAATGAAGACAGGCGAACCATGTCTCTGTGTTTCTGGTGAAAGCACCTTGCCTTGTAGAAAGCTTTGTTTTTTATGGTACAGGTTCATTTAGCTTGCAAGCACTAAAATGGTGATGTATGGCTTTTAGCTGATGAAAGAGGCCTCCTTGATTATACTTCTACACTATTACATGTTAGACTGTCATTGGTGAAAATGTCTGTGATGGATACTTTATAAGAAAGAAAGACTCCCATTGCTAGTTGTATGCAAAAACTGCTTTCAAAATATTCACGGACACTGAATTGGAGAGGGTGATCCGTGTCCGTCCATTTTCTTCCTCCAGAATAATGGGTGAGATCAGTGAGCAAACCGTAAAGGCCAGCCTGGTTTCATGGCAGTTATTGCAGCCACAGAATCACAGAAACATAGAACGGCTTGGGTTGGAAGGGGCCTTGAAGATCCTCTGGTTCCAACCCCCCTGCCATAGGCAGGGATGCCACCCACCAGGTCAGGTTGTCGTGTTGTCTGGCTACTTGCATCGTGTTCGCCCACTGGGTTGGTGTTTCAGTGGTGTGCTGTGTGTATTTTTCACATGTTAAGATCTATTATGAAGGTAGAAGGTTGGTAAGTATTGTAGGGTTGATGAACAGAAAGAAAATCTGGAGTCTATTAATTTAACAGTGAAGGTTTTTATTTGGGATTATTAAATAACTATCGTTTTTAGTAGCTGATTATCACTGTTCTGCAGCTGACTCTTTTGAACCTTTTGGGCAATCTATCATGGTTGTTTCTTCTGTCTCTGTACAGAACATGCAGGTAGAGAATGTGAATACTTTGCAGAGGTTATTGCAGTTTAACTTGGTGCACAGCTAGGTGTACAATTGTTAGATGTGTAAACAAATAACCAACATTTGTTTGTCTGTTTTTCCACTTGCAGGTTTATTCTTCAGTCTAAAGGAGTGATTCATAATCAACTCTTAGAAAAACAGAGAATAGCAGAAGAGAAAATTAAGGAATTAGAGGTAAGTTTCTGGCAAGTAAAGATGATGGAAGTAGAATATTGAAGGTCAGCAAAATTGTGTCTCTTACATTGCTTGTTTTTATCTAGAACTGTTCATTCTCAAGGATCATAACTGGGGGGAACATGGGGCTGTTAACAAGTAACCTACAATAATTCCTATCACTTGGTTTCTTTGGTATGTCTACAAACTCACGAGTGTTGCAGAAAAAGCAGATAAAGTTGGTTGTTCACTCTGTGTCCTGATGTGAAAACTGGAGATGAGGGTTTCAAATGAAATTAGCGGGAGTTACGTTTAAAACTAGCTAGAGGATATTTACGTGGTTATTTACAGCAGATAGGTGATATGAAACTCTTTGCCAGTGCTGTGGATATTAGAAGTTTACATTGGTTTAGGATAATTGCTCGAATTCAAGGAAGGGGAATCCTTTGAGCATTACCAAATATGTAGAAATCGCATCCTGCTCAGGAAGTCTGTGAGCTAAATATGTCTGGAGGCTGGGAAAGTATTAGAAGGAAGTACCATATACGCCTGCCCTTCTCTTACCCTCTTCCCTAGGCATCTCTTGTGGCTGCTGTTGAAGGCTGGATGCTAGGGAAGATGGGACCTAGTTTCTGTGACGTGGTCAGAGCACTTTGGTGTTCTTAAGGCAGAGAAGAATATCTGAGATATATAAAGCAGTGTCTGCACAAGTTCCAGCTGTTTGAACAAGTTATCTAGTGAATCTTGAGTATCTTCTAGTGGCTACAAGTTCAGTTTACACTTTGGAGAAGGGCTTCAGACTGTTCTTTTCCAAGGCCAAGGTTATTTTTTTCTTGTTGCCCCTAAAATAGAATTAATGTAAAACTCTGTTCCTTAGCTTTTGGGGAATGACAGAAAACAAAGACTGATTTGAGTTAAGCTGCTTGTCTAATCTGTTAGTGTTTTGAAGGAGGTGAGTGTGCAGACCAGGTAGGTGGGGGCAAGCAGCAACAGGCAGTAGGTACTCAAACAGGGCTGTGCAGTTCTGTCTCCATTGTCTCCTACTTACACTACAGCAAAAGTGAAATCACATTTTTTAAATTTCTTCTTAAAGCTAAGCTTGTCTGGGGAGCTGTATGGCAAACACGTCACTGCGTGCTGTGTTGTATGTTTTCTGTGATAGATAATAAAGGGTTTTGTGTTTCTGGTGGCCAGAACCTTTTCTACACAGGGAAAACAAGTACCCCATGGATAGGCCATATATGTCAGGTCGTGTTAATGCATACGAGGCACAGTCCTTTATATGCTTACGTGATAAAAGTGATTGTATCCTGGCTAATCTGGAACCATTTCAGACACCAGTGGCTTTGAACAAAACCAGCTCTGCAAGTGAAGTTGGAGAACTTCATAGCAGCATGCCTGCAATTGGAGCTGAGCGGAGTGTGCTTGACAGTTCTGGCTTCTTTCCCCTTCAGCTGTGCATCCCAGTTTCTTCCTGTTCCTGGTGGGGAATGATCTTACCTCCTGAACTTTCAGATTGCTGACTTTTTAGAATGGATGGAATTCTCCCCAAATTACAACCTGTGTCATTCTTACATGCAGCCTCAGAGATGGTTGCTTGCCTCAGGTCTGTGGTTATGGCCACTGAATTGGCAGTTCCCAGAAGCTGTGACCCTCTCAAAAGGTGGTAGGGAATGTGAAGGTGGTTGCTGCATGGATTGTTTTGGTTTGTTTTCTGTTTAACCACAGATAGTAGGGCTCAGATTGCTAGGTCCTTCTTCAAATCCATCTTTTAACTACTTTTTCCAGCTATCTGGCACGTTTGTGTAAAGGATATTCCTTAGACTTGGGATTCCCTCAGGAAGAGGATAAAAGTGACAGCTGCTGGAAACTAAGATTTCAGGGGAAATACCTGAGTCCAAGTTAAGAGGGTGCTTATCACAGGAGTAGGGGATTTTGCTGTCCTGAAAACAAGTTGTGACAGAAGCAGGAAAGAATGTGAAACTTTGTGACCTTGTGCTTCCACTACATCATTGTAAAAAAAATATTAGAGCAAGATAGCCAGATTAAAACATCACTCCATCAGTTATTAAAACTGGAAAGATTTTAAAGCTTATGTTTATTTTTTGTATTGTTAACTACCTTATCACTCTTATAGCTCACTTTACATGGTTGGATGAAGCTGGCCAGAGTAATCCTCTGGTATCCACGCAGTGTAGCTGACCCGGTTACTCCTGTAGTGTGAGCTTGAGATAATTATGCACTGTGATTGCAGAGCTATTGCCAAGGTGTTGTGAAACATGCATTTTTCATACAAACCCGAAAGTCAGAAATGCTGTCACCGCTAGCTTGGTTCTGGTTCTGGAGGAGCACAGCACAGAAGTCTCGGCTCACAGCTAAACTCTCTGTAAATCTGCCCAGCTGTGTAGTAAGGGGAACTCCTAAGTGCTGGCTGTTTATGAAAACACATGCTTTAATCTGCTTTAGAGATGTGAACGGGGTTTTGTGACGTTCACGGTTGTCAAAATGAATTATGAAAACAGAAAAGGGTTTTGCCTTTGGTTTGAAAGCTTTCCTTCTCTTTCCTCAGATGTTTTCTACTGCAAGCAGTGACTGAAGTTACTCTCTTTGCCTTATTCCTTTCTGCTGGGTTTCTCTGCTGTTCAAGTGTTGCGTTGTCTCTTTTATGGCAGCATCACAAATGAGTGTGATACTGCGCAGCAAAGCAGCAGGGAGAACCCAAACTGTCTTTGTACAGAGCTGTGAAAAAAGACTTTGCTGGAATATGTGCTCAGTGTACTCTGTGAGGGGAACTGTGTCACCGTGTCTCTGAAAATGCCCAAAGGGGTACAGATATGTACAAATAAGGGGGTAAACGTGTAGTCTGTCAGTTAATCCGCAGAAAAAGCAGGGTAGCTTTATCCTATTCCTTCAAGGTAAGGTATGAATGTGTGCGTATATATTCATTTAGCAAACTTAACTTCACAACTTTTGGATAATCCTTTGGAATCTTAATAAATGGCCTAGGCTTGCTTGCAAAATGCACATGCTTGCCTAAAGGCTATGCCAGTGAAGCTTCCAAAAGCCTTGGATCTTGCAGATTGATGGCATAGGCTCATGCACTCGCACGGGAAGCTTTCTGCTTAGCCCCAGCAATTGGTTTTTTCCAGTCCTGATAATATCAAATTCTTGTTGTGTTTCACAGCACAAGGGGTATGTGTAAAATCTATTTTGAAAGCATTCTAAAGGGATGAGCACAGACTCTTTTTAGCTCAGCAATGTTTGTGCAGTATTAAGAGAAAAACCAAGTAATGTTTTTCTTCCCTTGTTTTTAAGGAAACATGATATGTGAGGGGTGGAACAATGCTTTGTTTCAGGAAACGTTATCCGTTTCCATTGTAGGGCTAGATGGATTCTGTTTTTAAATGTGGCATTTTAAAAAGAACAAACTCTGATATTATAAAGACATGGAAAATTGATTCTTCATTAGGGGTGGAGAAAGTGATTATTGCTGTGCGTTTTCTCTGATAATATCTGATAATCCCCCTCTCTCCTGCTATATTGAGCATGTTTAGTTGTCAGGCGTTGTCAGACTAAATTTCTAAAAATAACAAATAGGGGGGAGGCTGTGCTGGGCAGCTTGGACTGTGTGTCACTGAATTTAGCTCCTCCATGCAAAGGGCAACAGCAACCTGCAGCTTTTTTTGTGGAATTAGATACCAGTTTTAAAGCTCTGACCGTAATATTGTTGTGTGCTTATTTCCCATGCAATTTTTTTACACGTGTATGGAGACTGAATATTTAATGCTGTGGTGCTAAAGTTGGTTTCGTCTCTGTCTGTCTGAAATTGAAAATACAGAGGTAAAAGGTACACTCAAGTGCTAGATCTCTAATTCAGAAATTCTTCCTTTGATCCCAAAAATGCCATGTCCAGTTGTCTCATCCCACACATGGAACTTTTTTGCTCTGGTTCGTGATGAAGAATAAATATTCTGCTCTCAAACACCACGACGCTTCCCATGCAAATGCTTGGATGGTTTTGTAGGGCTGGTTCCTGGTAAAGTCAAAATGTCACTGAATTACAGTGCTGTTTGGTGATCAGATGCCAGAGTTACCAACACTTCTTCCCCAGTGTGGCCTGGATGTGAACTTGCTTGTGCTGGGGAGCCCTTTCTCTAATCCTGTTCTCTAGGAGCTTTAGGATGGCCTTGCTGCAGCCCTGGGGCATAACGGCAGCGCCCCTGTTCTCAGTGAGCCTGCAGGGTGTCTCTGCTGGCTGCGTGCTGATGTGTTTGTGCCCTGGGGAACAGAGATTGAAGTGGGCGAGGTGTGGCTGGGGAGAAATGCCGCAGTCTGGGAGCCGGTGCCTCTTCTCTGAGCGTGTATGGCTGGGACGGACTTGCTCCAAATGGCCGAGTGTCTTGGATTTACTCCTAAAGCAATTCTTGGGATGTTTTTTTTTTTTTTTTATGCTAAAGCTGACAACGTGGAGGCCCCTGACCTGGCCTCAGTGCTTTTGGCTTTATGGCCTCATCTGCTTGAAGGAAGTTTGTGTGTCTGTCACCATCGCTTCACACAGGAGCCAAGCCGGAACTGTCCCTGGCACGGTTTGCGCACCACGTCCATGCAGAGTGGGAGCTCAGCTGCAGTTGTAGTTTGGAAACACACAAAATTTCCCTGGCACAGATCGTTTGCCATTTTGGGGCATTGCCGTGGAGCAAATTTGATTTTTATTTGCTTAAGCTGCTTGTCCTGGAAGATACTGAATTTGTTGCTCACCCCCCCCCCACCCATCTCCCTCTTTATAGCATTTGGTGCCTGGGAGTTTGGAGTGCTCATATCCTCTCCTCTTGTCCCTGAATCACACCTTGGAGCTTCATTAGCTTTCCCTGGCCATCAGGAGGCCTTGAGTCCAGATGCTCAGCACAGACAGGAGAAAAATAAATGCTTTCAGAGGGTCTCATATTCCTATACATTATCTCCTCCCTCTGCTTGCTGTATAGGGAGGCCGGGCACCTGATGGTGTTGGACAGACAGTACAG